TTGTCGAGATGATGTACAGGATTGGTGCCGCAAATGTACTACTTGCGCTGCTGTAAAAGGACCACAGACCAGAAGCCATGGGAACCTGCGGTTGTACAACGTCGGTGCACCGTGGGAACGAATTGCAGTTGACGTAGCTGGGCCATTTCCTGTAACGGAATCGGGAAACAAGTATTTTATGGTCGTCATGGACTACTTCACCAAATGGCCCGAAGTGTTCGCCATACCAAACCAAGAAGCTACATCAGTCGCTTCTAAGTTAGTCGAAGAAGTGATATGTCGTTTTGGTGTGCCTCTAGAAATCCATTCCGATCAGGACAGGAACTTCGATTCACAAGTATTCCAGGAAGTGTGTAGAATTTTGGGCATGCATAAGACGAGGACCACCGCGTGCCACCCACAGTCTGATGGAATGGTTGAGAGATTTAACCAGACCGATGAGAGGCATCTGGCGAAATTGGTAGACGACAAACAAAAGGATTGGGACAAGTATATCTCCTTCCACCACCTCTTCCTTCTGTCGTACCGAACCGCCGAGCATGAGAGCATAAAAGCTACCCCGGCGTATGTCAATTACGGTAGAGAACTACGATTACCAGTAGACCTATTGACAGGAGGGTCACCGGAGGGACCACAGACCGTACAAGACTATGTCTGCAATTTAAGGGAAAAAATGCGCTATATACACGCCTTGGTTCGGGAAAATGGGTTACAGTCAAGTGAGAACATGAAAACCAGATACGACCGGAAATCGAACACGGACGGCTTCGAAGAAGGGTCACTGGTGTGGCTGCATAACCCAAGTCGTCGGAAAGGGAAATCCCCAAAGTTGCAGATCAAGTGGGACGGTCCATACAAAGTGGTTACCCGACTGAATGATGTGACTTATAGGATTCAAAAGCAACCAAGAGGGACATTCAAAGTGGTACACATAGACCGTCTGGCGCGTTACCATGGCAGTAACAATGATGCTCGGGGCGAGCATCTCTAAGAGGGGAGTAGTGTTATGAACACACAAAGGAACTAACGCCATCTAGCGTCAACTATTAAAATCACTAAAGAACACAGACGACATAAAACCCCCTATTCAATACTAGATGGCCGAGGCGACTTCGGAGTGAAAACTAGTGATCAAGAGCGATACCAGTGAAACCTACGACTTTGCTACAAAATAGGACATTGTTAGTGCTTAGTGTTTGGACCTAGTGCTTTGTGTTGGACCTAGTTCTAGTGAAAAAGTCTTCAAAAGAGTCAGCAGGTCTTTCTCTCCAAATCCTTCGAACCCCTAACACGTAACAATATTTTTGATTTGTTAGTGATCTGTTTTGTTTTGTTTGTAACGACGTCAAATAACAGAAGTGTGGCGTGGGAATTCTTTGCTATAAAAACAGAAAATTTATTTAACTTTATTTTCGATAAGCAATCGACTATGTACAATTACATTTTATAAGTACGACTTTGAGGCGATAGATGGCGGTATTTTTTTGTCGTATTTTCTTTTGTCTTTGAAATCCCAACATTCGGACACTGTTCGAGGTCGAGGTGTATAGAAAAAGGAGAGGATTAGTTCAGACCACAAACGAAGTTGCGAATCGACTCGAGTAGCCACATAACATCACGATTCAAGTTCAACATCATTATTACTTCCTATCTAATTAGCCTCGAGTCGAGCTGACTCGTGCTCTCCGAGTTGGCCGAGTCGTCCCCCCCACTCCCTATGTCCCTACTTGAGACTTCGATGCGAGTCAAATCGAGTTGCGATTCGAGTCAGTAGCCAAATCAACTCGAGTAACTCGAGTCACAAAAAAATCCAACTCGTCACATCACTGATCTGAAGCTGACCGATGATGCTCTTCGAAGCCTCGATCGGCTCCTGGAACTTGCGGTTGCGACGTCGATCCAAAGTCCGCAAGTTCGGTTTTCCAAAAAAAACTTAACTCACAACACTCGCGCGCGAGTAGAATGTCTGCCTTCTACTCACTGGCTGACTATTCGGCAACGAAGGACGCAAGTTGCAAGTTTTTTAATCAAGTTTTTTTTTTTTTTTTGTTTTTTTTTTTTGGGCTGGATGAGCCACTGTTGGCCTTAGGGGCCTTCACAGATCCGACGGACTTGAGGTGGCCGGGCGCTCGAGGCGCCTAGCCTGAACCTCGCGTATTTACTATTACGCGTTGTGGTGACTAAGCTCGAGGGCTCCCGAAGGAACCTCGGCTCGGGCCGTCACGCTATTTAATTCACCGGTTTGGGAGGCCGCGTAGCTCTTAGGGCGCTTTGGCGGGGGCTCCATGGAGTGATCTGTCTCAAGGGTCCCCGAGAGGGGACCTCGGCTTGGGCTGTCACTCAGCACGCGTTTAGCATTCCGATTCGAGGGTGCCCGAGAGGGCCGGACCTCGGCTCGATCGGTAGCTGTTATCTGACTGGGGGGATCTCTAGAGCTATCATTACTACCACTTCGTAAAGCGTTGGCGCTGGGAGAAGAAGTGGCGGAAGAAACTCCAGCAACGCTTCTATCTTGAACTGGGGAGAACCTGCCAGGTACGTGGCGGAACCTAGTATATGTTTGCCGCACTCGCCGGCGAGTGCGGTTTGTGTTGGTGTGTTTGCGAAGTTTTTTAATCCTTTCGATGGCGATAGTCGTCTCATCGTCAGGGAAATCGAGAACGTGTCGCGGTCTACGGTGATTGCGGCGGAACGTACCTAGCGGCAGGGGTCTGTAGGGGGCGGCACCTACGATTAGCGGGTTGGGATGCGCGGCGGCGACTTCAGGAATTGAGCGATGGTGGGCAACTCTAAATCGACATGAAGGTCGATATTGCGCATGTACCAGGGTGCTCCCGTGGCTCTGCGCAAAAATCGATTTTGGATGACCTGAAGCCGGTGAATTTACTTCGGAGCAATGTGTGCGAAAACTGGACTCGCGTACGTCATGATAGGGCGAACTACTGCCTTATATAGAGTCACCTTGTTCCGAAGGGACATTTTAGACGTTTTTTGTTGAGGAGCGGATGGAGGCGACCGAGTACGAAGGCCGCCCGGTTCTTGACCCGAGTCACGTGCTGGTTAAATCTAAGTTGGGAGTCAAGGATGACACCTAAATATTTAACTTTGTTCACCCATGGTATCGGACTATCCATGAGTTTGACGGGGGGTGGTTTATCTACGTTTTTATGCGAAAAAAGGACGGCCGCGCTCTTGGCGGGATTGATTTCGATCCTCCATTGCCGAAACCAGTCACCGATGGTGATGGCTGCAGCTTGGAGGCGTCGATGAATAATTTCAGATGTTCTGCCTGCTGTATAGAGACAGGTGTCGTCGGCAAATAGGGCAATTTCTACATCTTTGACTCGCGGCATGTCATTGGTGTAGAGCGTAAAAAGGACTGGGCCCAACACCGACCCTTGAGGCACCCCGGCTCGAACGGGATGCGTTGTCGAACACATTTTTAATCAACAATTTTTGCGGACCCTCATACTAATTACAACGGTCAAACCATAGTGTGTTTTAATTTACTACTTACGCCACCTATGTATTACAAATAAGAAACTAAATATTATACAAAGCTAAAATGAAATAATTGTAGAATTTGTATTTTATGTCTATGATAATAAAAGCCTTTTATTAAACTTTATCTATATCTATATTATACGGTGGTAGGGCCACGCAGCAGCCTCGGCTGTTGCACGAATGGGCAGGCCCGTCCGGGTAAGTACCACGACCTCACAGAAGACCAGCGTAAAGTGAAAGTATAATACTTTCGCGTTTCGTCTGGTGAGTGAGGTGGCCGGAGCCCAATTTTCAAAAGGTTGTCAACGCATCTGTAACGCTCTGGTGTGGCAGATGTCCATGGGCGACGGTATTCACTTAACATCAATTTCTGTAAAGTTCTAGTACACGCACACATTTTTTTTTATATTTTTTGTTCGGGTACAACTCCGTCTTATACATAGATGGATTTGGATTTGCAAAATAATTTTTTTTCTTCGAAAGGGTTTTATTCCGAAATGGTGCCATTTAATTTTTAAATAGATCTGATGATGAGTTTCGGAGATAGACAATGTAATCTTCAAAAAACAGTAAATCACAACAGTAACCGGGATTGCTCACGTCTGTACTCTCGAAAAGGTTCAGCAGATATATTCTGTATAGATAGCTGACTATTCAACGGCAGCGACTCCAAAAATTTTAAAATTTTGTTAGAGGTTTGGTAAGATTATCTATGTTAGATTTTCAAGATTAGATTATATTCGATGCTAAATTATCTTAAACGTTTTAGTGCTAATAGAGTTTTTGAAGTAGGTTCTTTTTTGATTGAATTGGTGATTGATGTCCTTTATGCATAGTATCTAAATAGTATAATTATTCACTACTATTCGACAGAAATATGTATGTTATGTAGTACCTAAGTAATACAATGTTCAAATACTGTAATAATGATGCTTTTATTTCCACAAATAGAAAATGGAACATTGGAAAAAGTCTTCGTAAATTTTAATTAACGACACCTTTGACCACGGTCACTCGCTGATACTGAACTGATTTCTTTCTTTCTTTCTATTACCTAGAAAAGTGGTTCAGTTCATGCTGAAGAAGCACTTTTCAAGATAATTTTAATTTAACTTTACGGAGAAGGAAAGGAAGACTTACTATCGCCTGTATTAAATTCATAATTTTGTTGCAATTCTCTTAAAATAAATGAATGGTCTTTGAAAAGAGATCTTTGGAATGCAAGGAAGGTTTTTATGACCTTTTAACATAATTTTTATTTAAACTTTACTAACTTTAACTTATTATATTTTAATAATAGTTTAACAATTTTAACTTAACTAAGTATAACTTGCTAGAAGATAAAAATAAGAGCTCCATGTGTGATGTGGTAGCAAAATACAGTAGCGAAAATGAGCCTAATTTGGAAACATATAGGAAATAGTGTAAGGATAGGTGAAAAATAGATCGTGGCATTACTACATTAAGAGATAAAAAATGTATTCAAGAAGACTTACAATGAATGGCGTCGATCCCTCACGTGGTCTGAATGGTTCTGCAGTATCACCCACTGTTACGTAAGCCGCTAAAATAAAAATACCTAAACACTAACATACTTGTTACATATTATAGATTTTTACTTAGGGATTATATTTTGTAAAATAAATTGAATAAGATGATGTAGTTGTGGATAAAATCTATCTGCTTGGTATTCACTCCTTACAACTTTCTACTCTGTGAATATTAAAAATGTGAAAAATATTTACGGAAAATCTGGAATGGAATACATGCATATTCGACAAGCGCTTTGCAATACCGTTAACATTCCAACATGTCGTCGAATATTTTAGCTAGAATATTAAAAGTTCTAAATCCCAGCGGAGTATCTTGGAAATTGTAACTTATGAAGCTTATATTCTATATGCAAAATACAATATTGTACATTATAAAACAAATATTGAAAGGATTTTTGCGTTTTAATTGTAATGATGAACTTATACCATGTGAGTTACCTGTCTTCGAAGTATACTTATGCGAAAAGTTCAGTTGAAGAGTCAGTAATAAAATAATAAGTAAGTACTTATAGTAAATTAAAGTAAAATTTTTAAGTATCATATATGATAATGATAAAAATAAGTATTTATTTTCAAATAAAATAACTACCAAGCAGAAAAAGCCAACTCCATTTGTTCATAGTGCTTTACGCGACAAAATGGAAAAATGAAATTTACCAATCACAATTTAATTAAAAAGTTGCAACGGCGCGTGAATCACGTTACCAATACATCGTAATTATAACATTTTAAAATAGTGTTTCATGGAAAAAGTAATATTGTGTAATCGCACAAAGGAATTTTCTCGACCGAATTGACAGTAGGTAGGCCCTCGTTCGTTTGACGAATCTGTGAAATGGAATATTCCAATTCAATGCTTCGTTGCTGGCGGCATCTGAATATGACAAAGTTATTAAGAATGGACTACAATGCAATATTTCATAATAAAAATATTTTTAGTGACGAAAAAAACGTAAAACGTACATGTAAAAGTAAGAAGGGCATTAATTAATGTTTTGTACTTCTAGAAAACTTTTCATCAAGTCCTTATAAAGTTGCTACTAAAAAATAAATGTCTCGTCAAAGGCTACTTTAATTTGACAAAGAATTAGACTAGCACCGAATGCTCTTGTGTATTCGGCCTATTTGTACTTACTCTAATCCTACATGGCTGGATCTCGAATATCAAGGGACTATTGACCCGAAAACCTAGTATTAAGTAGACGATTTCGTGTATGGTTTTGTTAAAATGAAAAAATAAAAGTGTTTTGTGATAAAGAGTCTACATTTAAAGGAAGTAATTCGTCTCTACATTCTACGCTTTCTGATAATTTTTATCTTTGTCTAAGTATGTATAATTGATTGTATGTATAAGTATGTCTAAGTATGTATAGGTAAGTGATTTCTTCTTAGATGTCATAATTATAATAATATAATCTTTACGCAATTTTACTTTTAAACAAAACAAAATGTGCGATAAACTGTGTTTAAGTATGTTTATTAAACCTTTGAAAAACGTTATGGCGTGGGATGGATGTGAACACATTTTAATAAAGGAGAATAAATTAAGTTGATACAACGTAATTGTTTTTGGCCAGGGAGCCCTCTTAATATTCGCCATTCGGCGAGTGTCCTAGTGCACTAATTTTTTTGCTAGTCATCAAACTATAAATTATAAGTGAGAATAATTGTATTTCTTGCTTTAAATTCATCATGACTAAATAGGCTATATTTTCACAATGGGCCACCATTTCTATGAGCCACGCTTTTAAGTATATGTAATACATCTGCAATTATCTATCAGTGCAATAAGTAAATGTAATTAAGAAAATAAGTAAAATGAAAGCTCGTACACAAATAGCACTACTTAATTTTCTATTAACTTTGATTACTTATACATTCTCATGTATAAGTAAGCAGTGTTAGTAGTTTTACATCGTCTTTGTTATTTTTTTTTTAGGATTTTTAAGATCTGTGCCTATTTTTATGAGAGTCGGAACAACCGACATCCTTTGTGACGTACCGTTTCGACCCCTTGACATCTCTTCAGTGCACGGCTGCAGTTGTGTGCTCTCGACTTTTCATAGCTCCAAGCCTTTCTTTTTATACTTTTCAAAGCTTTATAAAAGGTATCCAGTACAGATTCCAACTACAGATAAACTGCGTATGAATGAAGCCCAGGTGCGGGAAGATTTTATGACCCGACCGGCAAAAGATAATAAAATTGTCCTGAAGTTTATATATAACATTGCCTTATCACTAACGTATACATCTAACATAAAGAACTTTATAAGATATAAGGACATACAATATAACATAATAAAATCGATAGAGAATATCTACTAAACTGGTACTACTGGATACAATGTAACCACAGGCCGCTTTTGTGCAAACTGTACCAGGACATAGAAAGGAAAGAAGCCATAGTTATTGGCACCAAACCCAAAGAAACCACGCCCTTTTTTTTCTTTCGCCTTTTTTTTGTTGACGTGGGGAAATGACTACGCATACCCGCCCTCGGGTGGACAAGAGCGGGTTATGTCGTACTCGCACCGACTAAAACCCCACGATGTTACACCTATGCGCATATCGGCAGGGCCACGGGAACGCTTTCGCTCACTTCCGCGACCCTGCGAGCGCTGGCCGCCTCGGCAGCCCGGGATCAACTCCCCTCTCCTCCAGGTATGTTCCAGCGCGCCTTACTAGTCGGCCTCGTTTTCCCGGCCAACGAACTTCCTCCGCGTTCGCAGATCAGGAGAGCCAGTGCCAATAAGCAGCAAGCCTCCCAGCCCCCAGCGGCGGATATGGTCTGTCGCTCCGCCGCTCACCACGTTTCGGCCGCGGAGGGTAAGGAGAACGGGCCACCGCAATACCGACACTCCTCTCCCACCGCGGCCCACCACCACAGCATCAACGGTGCAGCCCCGCCGATCCGCAGAGGATAGGGAGCGCGGCCAACGCAATACCGACACTCCTCTTCCCCGCGACTCCTCCTCAGTAGCAGAAGACAGGGAGAGTGGCTCCACCTCTACTACCCTCGACGCTGTGGGTTCCTCTTAGCTTCGCCGTGGGTGACCAAGCCACGGCTACTAAGCCCCTCCGTACGTCAAGGCGGGAATCCGGTCGGAGGGGACAAGCTATCGCCCTAAGTTGTGTTTACTAACAAGTTGAGTGACTAGTTCTCAATAGGTTAAAGGACCATGTCTACTTCAACTTCTGTTTTGTTTTTTTCTTGTTATAGCGGCATATCTGTTTTGTTGTTATAGCGGCAACAGAAATACATCATCTGTGAAAACTTCAACTGTCTAACTATCACGGTTCATAAGATTACAGACGGAAGGACAGACAGCGGGGTCTTAGTTATAGGGTCGCGTTTTACCCTTTTGGTACGGAACCCTAAAAATAGTTTTGACACTTCCGATGTACGTTGACCGAGAGCTATATCATCTGCCATATGTAATAACACCTTGACTGCCGCAAATAAAATCATAAACGATCATTTGGTGCGGCGGCGAGTCGAAATGCGTCCCCAACGATATTTCCGCCAGTGAGTGGCGGGTGTTTCTCGACCTACCTCCGAACTCGAGCTTTGCAAAAACATGATGTATACAATTGTTTTGTACTGTTAGAATGACCCTGAACCCAACTTCCTTAGCTTCGATTTGCCCCTAATGCTGCTAAACAGGAAATGAGCCTGGAACCAGGAAAGCGGCGGGCCGATATCGGTCTGACCGCACTAAAAAGTATCTTTAGATGGGGCAGACAAAAGTATGAGGATATGTATACTTTAATATTATGAAAACTAAGGAGTTTGTTTGTTTGAATTCGCTAATGTCAGGGACTACTGGTATGATTTGAAAAATTCTCGCAGTGTTAGATAGCCCATTTAGGTTTACGCTACTTTTTAAGATATTAAAGATAGAATAGATTTTTAAGATATTTAAGATAGAAAATAAAGGTTTATTTTAAAGGTGTACATTTCTACTAACGTATTATTTCCGTATTAAGTTGATGTATTCTATTTTGTTCAAAATTATTTTCAATTTATATAAACACGACGGCGTATAGCAAGCTAATTTAATATAGCGGAAAATTTCCCAATGCATTCGAACTTTCTTGATGAAGACAAGCCCTGAGCTTTGTACTCTATTTATTCATTCCGACTGATGCATGTAAAAAAGAGTAATCGACTTGAATTGCGCTTATGTTAATACATAATGACGCCTTTGGTACTGAACGGAAAAAATAGTAATATGTAATGAAGTTAACCTAAACATATTTTTAGAAACATTACTAATACTGTTATAGTGATAGAAACAAAATTTGGTACCTACTACGATTTATTGTCGTGAGTTAATTTTTTTTATGTAGCTAATTAACTTTTGTCTTGACCCCTTAACCCTCGATATGCTATCATTTTCTTTGTTCCATCAAATATTTACAAAAATTTAACGTAAAAATTATTTATGTAAAAAACAACGTAAACTATTTCACTGATTCCTTATAGGTACATATCTATTTAAAATATTAACTGAAAAATCTCTGTAGCTGTCAATCACCATTAATTTTAAAAGAAAATTACTGTGTTAGTTTAAAAAAATAAAGATTGTTTAAAATTAATACGCTTTTTGCAAATTTCTTACGTCTTTCATAATAGTAAGAAACCGTCACCTGCACAGGATATGCACCATTATTCCATACAGATAACAATTCAGTTACCGCGTAGATAAATGCACTTATACATTCACGTACCCCGTACGTATACTTGTCACTTGAGAAGCCATCTTTAGACGGATATCGAGTCGTCGTGGAAGAAAGTATGGTATTTGCGGTACTGGAAACATTCAACGAATGGTTTTCTATTTGTGTAGGAATATATCCTCGTAATAAATAACTTGAGACAACTGCTGTTAATATCTTGCATTATGAGAGTGGACTTATGAATAATCGTAGCGCCCAGTTTGGAAATATTATTATTTCGAACATGCACTGTCGTTAATTTCATTACCATTTTAAAGTGATTCTCTTCACCATTACATTAGGTCTCCATTTTGTCCTCTGCACTCAATGAGCCATTGCTGCTTTATTTAATATTCCTACTTTTACTGTTCATTATTTTAAATGAAGGACAAATAAATAAAATAATAGTATTCTTTTTTTTATTTACTATACCCTGTTTATATTTATGTACCCAAATTATGTTAATTATATGTTTGTCTGCACGTCATTTAGGTACAAGCGTGTCACACGCATGTATTTGTTCCAAAACCTAAAGTGTACATATTCCATTCAACTAACACCGACTTCTACAATAATTCACGAATTTAAGAGAAGTATTGCAGGCATACACACTATAATCATTGAAATACCGAGCATAGCGCGCTGAGCGACTTCACAGTTCGTATGTCATATCTGGCTACACACATTTTATTGAAGACTAGTCTTCCAACATTGAGGTATATTCGAGTAGATGATTTCCCGAAGTTTGTCCGTCTGTTGTCCTCTGCGGACTGCGCCGAAGTTGAACTTACCTAGCCGGGCTAACAGTTTGGGACGACACCCCACTAGATGGAGTGACGACCTGTGCAAGTATGCGGGAAGTCGTTGGATGCAGGTGGCTCAGAATCGTGTTTCGTGGCAAACTGTAGAGGAGGCCTATGTTCATCAGTGGACTCAAACAGGCTGAAATGATAATGATGATGATGATAATAATTGTATGACTATTCATGAATTCCTCACCATGATCATCTCACGTTAATGATAATTCGCGTTTTCATGTGCTGACTGCCAATATTCAATAAAATAAATATACAAGTTAATTAAAAAGTAAAATTAAATATCCATAACTATTTAATGATTACGTGCGATAGGCCGGTATATTTATGATCGTTGGATAGAATATTTCCCAATTTATTTCTGATGATAATAAATTTATTTAACCTTTACAACGATAATCTCTGTATTGAAATTAATTCTAATTTCTATTATAAAGTCTTCGATTTTTTCATGCCGACTATACAAAGGTATCTTTGTTATATTTATATATGTTTACGTAGCTAGCAGCGACATGATTTAAAGTGCCATTGCACGGCAAAGTTGTCAAGCTACAATTTTAATGTAAAACTCGACAGTCACCATCTTAGATGTTTTCTTCCCCTATTGCATTTTGTTATTTTCCTACGCTCTCAAGCCAGCGATGGTAGTGGAATTGCATTTCATTTTCATCACAGAAATTGCGTCTCACTGGGATCCTACTTCAATTACTTTCCGCGTTGCACGGTGTCTTTTTTATTAAATGGAATAAAATTTCAAGTCTTATGTAAATTCTTTCAAGACAAAATTTTGTAATTATTTTAAGATAAAATTTTCGCTTCGATTCTATTTTACTCGTTATCCAACGTGGACAAGATGTTGAATAGCGGTTTGGAATGTTAATGGCTTGTTAATGGAATGTTTAAATGCACCACTGAGTTGAATATTTCTCATGGCTTCTTTGCTATCAGGATACTATTTGATTGCTATCTTTATTAAGCAATTCCGCTTTTTATTTCTTTTGTGCATCATTGTCATATCACATTTATGAATGGAGGCACTCAATGCGTTCTCTTTATTATGTTGTTATTATTATTATAATATACTTTATTGTACACCACAAAGAATTTGATACAATTAGTATAAAATAAGTCTTAAAAGCTAGGTACAATAAGGCGGTCTTATCGCTAAAATTCGATCTCTTCCAGACAACCTTAGGACGAGGAAAAATAAACTAATGAATAGTGGGTGGTGGTGTGCTCAATAAACTTGTTTAATACCAAAATAGACTTAAATATATATAAAATTAAATATATATAATATATATAAAATAAAAAATTATAATAAACATACATAAATAGATATATAATATATATGAATAACATAAATAAATACACGAGAGAAGAATTAAATCCGAATATTGCCATTAAAAACTATGGATTACAAAGCGATAGATAATGTTGTTTTACGTCATTTTTAAACTTGTCTAGCGTCTTCGAACGTCGAATTTGCTGAGGAAGTTCATTCCACAAGCAGATGGCCTTAACTGTAAAGGAGTTCTTATAATATTTAGTTTTGTACGCATGTGGTGCAAGAATTAGATCTTCAGCGGATCGCAGAACTCGTTCTGGATGGTTATGGCCAAGAAACTTAAAGTGTTCCTTTAAATAACTTGGAGTCCTAGGGTTAAATAATATACAGTACAGAAGAGAGACAGTGTGTAGATTCCGGCGAAAACGAATGGGTAACCACTTGAGCTTTGAACGAAATTCGGAAACGTGACCATATTTGCGTAAACCAAATATGAATCTAATAGCTAAATTTTGAATACGCCCAAGTTTATTTAGTTGTTTTTCAGTTAAATCAAGATAGCTTGCATGCGCATGTTTAATTAACTTATGTTTAATTTTGAAATCCATCTGGTATTTCTTGTTTCTGGTTGTAGAAAAAACGCAAAGAATGGTTTGGGAAGCCTTATTATGTACTACTGTTCGCTATAATTAGTAATTTTGTATGTTATGGGAACTTTTTTGGTTGCCATCTTACACACAATTCACGGTAGAGCTCCACTTAGGCCTCAGTTGTTTCACTCAGGCCTTAGTTGTTTCTGTTGCACGATTGGATAGCTTGACCAGGGTACCAGTACCACAGTCACACCGAAGACAGGAAGTAAAATATCAGCACATAATTATCATTTCTTTTTTTTAAAGGTCACAAATACAACTGCAATAACTTAACATTAGGTGAACAATCTACGTTATTCTACGATAATATATTTGAAAGCAGCAATACAACATTTGCAAAATCGAACACCGAATTGCGTTTATTCTTCTTATTACCAAGAAGCCACTATTATAAGGTGGCCTCACCGTTCCTCTAAAATACTATTCTTGTACAAATCATGAAATACTGAGGATTAACCGCTATCTACGTACCAAATTAATTTCGGTTTAGAAGCAATGTTATAAATGACCAATCAGTTCACTAGTCAATCATATCTCTAGTCCGATTAAGTGAATCAAATCCTTGTAGTCTTTGCGAACGCTATCCATTTGAACGGACGCTTTTAATGAATAGGAGAGAATTGATTATTAACAAAGATACCCAATTACGTATATACGGTTTAGACAACCGATGATATTGCAAATACGTAAACTTTATTTGTATAAAGATATGTGTATTTTTAAGATATAAGTGTAAGTTATAACTATATTTGTATAATATTGTATTTGAATAAAGATCTTATAGCATCACATTAAAATTGCATACATTTGTGAAATACGTAGCAAAAGTTATTGGAGCACTGTCCAACTTAAAAGAAAGGTTATTTTTAGTAGTCATTATTCGACGTCGTGCAAAGAGAACAGCTCCAATAAAAGTAAAAAGGTAAAAAGCGAGAAATCCCGACATGTATAAGTGTCCTCAACATTACGTTCGTCATGCTTTTGAAATGTCTGAAATGGCATTTGAAAAGCGCCATGCATCTTGCTTTTGAGTGGACTTTCGACTTTAAGACAAATTCTACTTTTCACAGTATACTGCAATGAAGAAAAACCTTTTTATAGTCAGATGTTTCAGGAATGCTTTGTCCTAATAAAATCCAAATATTTTTCCAGACAGTAATTAGTATAGGCAAAAAGATTAAAAGTGTGTTTCACTATACAATTCAATTACAGTGATGCTTCCGTATTATCTTACGGCTAGACACACAATCAATAACATTGAATAAAATTTTTATATTTTACAAAAATAACATAATAAGTTATTTAAGCCGTTACATGGTAACTGTCGCCATATTAAAAGTTGCAATAGTCATGTAGTCGCATAAAAATCTTGAGTCGTTCCTTGAAGGAAATCCGGTCATTCCCGGAAAAGGCAATAAATCTCGCTTGGCCGCAGATAGAGAGATCCGACGGGCGGGGCGGTGCACGAGGGGTGAGGCGTATGACACGCAAAAGCGAAGCAGGACTGTGCAGTGTACGCTGTACAGTAGCGCCACACCAGTCCCGGGTGTTGGGACAGATCAATAGCCAAGCGTCCTCTCCCGGTTGCCTCGGGCGTCCGTCACGCACTCGCGCATCGTCCGTCGACAGGCAAACACGTACACGGGTCGTCACTTGTACTACTAGTCGTCAAACAGCTACGAAGATGGAGGTAAGTGATGTACAGAAGAGTTTCGTCGCCAGTGTGCATGTCATATAATAATTAAATGACGCAATTATAACTTCGGCGCCGTTAGGAGACACTAAAAACGTTAACTAAATTCTAATCCGCAAGGTTAAAATCTGTAGTAACAGGGCGCGCAATAAAATAATTTCTTTTTAAGACAAAACTTTTTTGATTGTTTCGTAAGCAGACGTTGGTTGCTTTAGAAAACAAATAAGCCGTTGATATCTACATATATCTACATATTAAATATGGAAGGTTTACAATAATAACTTTTTCGGACTGAGCGCTACATACTTTACAGGGTTGAAAGAATTTAACATCCAAATGTGTGTGTGATCTCATGTCATCCGGCACAAATATTGTGCCGGTTTCCGTTACCTATGCAATTTAATCCGTCTCGTTCTAACTCGTTGGTTGTTAATAGATCTACCGTTTGTTGGTATTTTTATAGAACTTTTTGTGGGATGCAACCTCTGCGACTCTTTTTGTTTTGCCTTTCCGGAGTAAATCAATACTCGCGCCATGGGTTAGTAATGAAGATGTGACTAGTATTGTATTATGTGAAGCGCTGTTTTTTTACTTTCAGAGGTCTTTGTTCGAATTATAGGTCAGGGGTGCAACACTTACCGAGATTTCGCTACTTGACATGTGCTTCTAGCGATGGCGTTGTTTTTTTTTAAAGCGAATTACGCAGTGACATTTAACTCATAAAAATCGAACATAAATTACTTTATCTGTGTCCATTTCACACGGATAGTTTCCGTTTGATTCCAACAATAGATTATTTAGTATTACAAAAAAAAATACGATCGAATATTTCGCGGGCAGCATTTTAAATATTCCTATTACATGTCCGAACCATCTGCACTTTTAGAACAAACACCTGTTAGGTCAACGGGAAACGATCACTGCACTCTAGCGATTCATTCGATATTTTAATTAGAGCCATTAAGACTGATGAAACAAAAACGTGAGTTATTGCTCTTTATTGTCTCAACAATCAGCGCAAAGACAGAGAGGGCTAAACCCGGACGCAAACATCAAATACTTCCTGTTCATAGCGTATAAATAACATATATTTTCACCACACTCGCTTATCAAAGATAACTGACCCGCCGAGTCGAGTTTATTTTAGTATCAGGTCCGTAAATACGAAACAATAAAGTCGTTGACTGGTACTGTATCATCGTTCAACGTGTTGTTATTATTATTGAACACACCAACACTGAATTTATAAGAGCTGTATTGCCTATGTATATCTGTAAAAATAATGAAAACGAAACAGAAACACAAGAATGTACAAATAAGTGTGATAGCGAATAAATCATTTTACAAATAGGTATAGTTAACAATACTCCTTTTATAAATTTTATTTTTCTATTACATAATTTTATTCGTGTATTTAGCTCTGGCGAAGTTTTGGAATTTTAAAGAAAAAATTGCTATGCGAATTTCACTTAAATAAAAATTTGGAGCATGAAATTGTTATTACTTTTCTCTTTCCTTTCCTTCTTCTCATTAGGACCTAATTCGATTTTCTCCATAAATTTTTGTACATTTATTGTTATAAATGCACATCTCTGCTTACACATGAATTTGTTACCTAAAAGTAAATAAGTGTTTTTATACGTAATTTTTCCTCGATATATAGGTACATATCGATTAACTTCTTTTAGGTACTAAATATATAAAGTGTAATGGTAACTACGTGTTTCAATAAATAAATACCATGTGACATCAATGTCAATGACTTAGTTGTGAACCTATCTCTCCGGTTTTACACTAAACTGTTTTATGTCAAGACGTTTAATTCAATTGGAATTTTAAATGGGGCTTCTGAATTTTGTTTGTTTGATTTGAATAGTAACGTTCAATAAAATCACTTAAGGTGTCACGGGCGACACAGCTTGTTTAACCTGTCCTTACAGTACATAATCCCGTTGCTTAAATATTCCCTCTTTGTGGCACTACAACGTTATTACAACTGACGGCAGATTGTCCTATAAGATCGTTTAAACTAGAGTTTAATTCGTTGATTTGCTAAGTTAAGATTGAACATGTCAAATGGAAAGACGTGGTAGGGTCAATTCTTTGTTTAAAGGCAATGAATTTGGAAAGGTTTAGTGGCCACGGTTTCGTTTTTGTTTTAGAATAAACACTGGTGGATGATGGCGATTGGCCTCGTCGTGCTCTGGATGGGAGTGGCGCTCGTGGACGGCGAAGTTTGGGAGGAAGGCAATCATGAGGTGCTCATCCGCAATGAGCGAGGTGCAAAAAATAAAGGTTAGATATACAAGTGCACTCGGCAATATCATCGTGATCATTGCTTTAAATTTGTGACTACTTTTGAAACGTACCTCATTCGCGTTGTCACATTCACCATTGAGGTAGTGTTGCATAACATTGTTATAAACTTACAAAAGTCGTGGTATTCATATATTTGTTCAACTTTTTATACTTCACAGGAAATATATTAACGCAAATTTAAAATTAGTTTATATGAAACGAATTCGAACCCAGATCCACGTTGCGGCATGTTATCATTAAGTAACTTCACCAACAGAGTTACATTAATTTAGGTAACTTCGTAAGTCTTGCATAAATTAATTTGTCACAGCATGACAAGTTCCACCTACCTTCCTACCTCCCTAATGTTTAATTATTTTATTTTACTTTAAAAATCATCTGTAACTGATTTGTCATATGTCTAATTTTGTTTGATATTAATTATTTTAATTTCTTTGGGGCTCTACGCTAACATTAAATATTGTTGAAATGTATAATTCATTTTTAAATTAAAATAATATAAACCTATGTTCATTTGTATGACAAACCTCAGTGTAATAAAGCACATTATCGTAAATAATATGTATTTTTTATTAAAAATAATTAAAAAGGGAAATAAGGACATGTCTACAAGTAATTGAGGCTATTTCAAGAGCAGTTATAAAGGTCCTGTGATTATGAAAACTTTAGGGTGCAAAAGCTTTGCAAATAATATGAAGTTACTGGATATTTTTTCATGAAAATAAGTTGATGATGAAAAAAAGACTAATTATATATGCGTCTAATTAAAGATGACAGAAAATATTTTTTATTTAATTTAATTGCAAGGATCAAAGAATTAAGCTATTTAACTAAAATTTTTGGCCGAAAGAAAAACGAAACACGTCTTCTTTTCCGCTCGTTTTTATCTACAGCCTAGTCATATATATATCGAACCTTAAATATTATTCCATGTTTCGTAGTTAGAGTTAAAAACATAACGGTATTCTCACTTTTCCTTATTATATTATCGACGATTTCAGGTTCCATGTTCAGAAAGGGCTTGACAATTGTCTAAATAAGTTCGTAAATTTATATTTTTTAATCTCTGACTAATATTTAGAATCTCATCATTAATACACTTTTACTTTAATTGTAACAATTAAATTTATTCATATTATTACGACTTTGTAAAGGATATTTATTTATTTATTTATTTATTAAGGTACACCAACAGCATAACATATACTTACATTTATATATACATATATTTTTAGTTAGAGGTTTTGTTCTTATATTTACGCCAATTATAGGCATACACAACATTTACGATCTAAGTACCTAAAAGTAAAACAAAAAATAAAATTTAACATAAGAATTAATAATAAAAACTAGCTATGTATTTTAAGTAAATTATGTATGAGAAAACAGTAAAAGTACAAGTAAGAAAAAAGAATTCATTTTAAATTTATATGAACTCTAAATCAGAAGAGATCGTAATTTCGTTTTGAAAACATTTAACGAAACATTAAAAATATCCAGATTCCATTCGGCTACAGACATGTGATTGTATTTGCTTAAAGTTCTTGATATTAGAAGGATATTCGATTTTCGATTTTCTCTTATACAGCATCTTAGTCATTCTTGCATCTCCCGTCGCTTTAGGCAAGAAATTATTAGTTGAATGAATTAGGATAATTTTCGGAGCAGTAACTTTGAAGTATTTTTTAAGTAGGTTTAATTGATTTCTATTTACGTACAGAGACCTGTCGCTACGTGCGGGGCGCTTGGTCCGAATGCGACTCCAAAACCAATATTCGTTCGAGAACGCTTACTTTGAAAAAAGGCGACCTTTCGAATTGCGAACGCATCAAAACGATCCAAAAGAAATGCAAAAAAGGTAAAAGCTCACACTACACTAACTTACTGCCCTGGCTAGCAGGCTGGCCTATATTAAAAAAAAATGTCTAAATAATTAGCGTTGGTACACAGTGACTAATGTTAGTATGTTTACTTTTGTTATAAAATCTAGGGCCCATAAATAGCTTTTATGTGTTTGAATTAAGCCCGTTGTTTTATTATCTCGCTCGCAGCATGCCGATACGAGAAGTCAGCTTGGAGTGATTGCAACTCTAACGGAGAAATGTCCCGGACCGATTTGTTAAAAGCCAACAGCGATCCTTCTTGTAACCAGACCCGCCACATTTCTAAAAAATGTAACAAGAACAAGCAAGTGAAGTCTACCAAGGATAAGGGTAAGGAGCAAACATTGTTGACCCTTTTCATTTGTAATATAAAACTCGAGAACGGCTAGAACGATTTAGTTAATTTTGGTTTTGATATATTTGTGGCAGTCCAGGGAAGGTTTAAACGAAGAGAAATTATGGAAAAATTGTATGGAAACTTGAAATAGCAACAACTTTATTTTCCCACACAAACTGTACCTGTCAACTTGTCAACTATGTCAGTGTAACCTGCCAAACACTTTATGGGTGCGTTCCGATTTCTCTAGAAATAATTTATATGGCAAAACAACGTTTGCCCAGTCAGCTTGTTTGTAATAAAAACTGACCATTACTCGGCTACCATCCCACAAATTTGTGTCGTACTAGTATTGCTTTAAATTTTCTAACTCAAAAACTAACCTACTCAAAAATGAAATTTACAACGCTATCGAGTTATCTTTGCTAATCGTTGCAATTTTAATTTTTGCCGATGGATTCTCGTAAAATCAATTCCGAGTAACCCGATGATGGAAACCGACGCCTCACCATTGAAGTTTTGTTTAAAATGCACCTATTAAATTTATCTTTCATAGAGAAATCAAAGATTTGAATTCTGTTTTCTTTACAAGTAACTATTCTGGGATAGTTGTAGAATTTTCTCAAAACAACGTCGATGATCTCAAATTTTAAAGACCTATTAGGTCTTAAAATATAGCCAATAACATAACTTATGATTACAGGTCGCAGGAATCGCCAGTAAAATGTGTAGTCGTGCGGTCGCCCCATCTTAGATTTAATGTTTCTATTATAATATTGAAATAAATGTTCTTTCGATCTTATTTATGTAATAGTGCCAAAATAGTATCAACGCTATAATTCATTAGTTTCAAGGTGAATTGTTATTATTAAGCATTTGTTAGTATCAGTACTAGCGACTCTTGAATATTGAAACTTTTGACTCGTAATTTTCAATATCTAGCAGCCCTTTCTTTTTTTATTATAATAAATCGTATTTGATATGAAATAAATAATTGAGTACTTAGATTCGTTTTTATTTCTGTACCTCCTTTACCCGTATTCTTTATCTTTATTACAATAACATATGGTATTAAACGAGTGTAACAAAGCTGTTACACACTAAAAGCGACTCAATATACATTTAGCTTATCATTTAAATACCGTTAATATAAACGACCAAACTAAGTCCTCGGTATAAGCTAGTTATACTACTTGACCGTCACTAGAAGCTTTATATTGAGTTTCCTTTCCTGTCGATTAGCATTTGGGGGAAATAAGCAGGAGGCTCACCCGATGGAGTGTGATCATCGCCGCCCATGAACATCTGCAATACTGGAGGGAGTGCAAATGCATTGCCGGCCTTTCAAGAAAGAATAGGCTTTTTTCTAGAACATTCCAAGGTCGTAAAGACCGCCGGTGGCAGCTGGTTCCATAGAGTGATTGTGCGAGGCAGGAAATGCCTTGAATATCGCGTCGTGGAACGCCTGACTGGTCGTGTGCATGAACTTATCGGTTTTGGCGCTATGTTCGATGGTGAAATTCAGCCGCCGGGATCAATCCAAACAATTCCTTGGAACACATCGGTGATAAATGCGGTAGAAGATGCAGAGGAATCTAACATCTCTACGCAGAGCCAAAGGATCGGGCCGATCGATCGGAGATTTGATGGTCGATAACCCAAGCCGCCCTTCGTTGAATACGGTCAATTGGAAAAAAACTGGTAAAAATGCTAAACGGACTACTCTAAATTTAAAGAACAAAGTTATGGACACCTTATTACTTTCCTCTATCATCTACGGTTGTAAGTTATGGAAGTATATCTTATAATTAAATCCTGCCAACGCAGTTTGGAGAGAAGCATCACAAATGTGAGAAAAATACAAGAATTCCTACAACTCGGGATAAGACTAAAGTTATGAAAAAATTAATAAAGATGCACATTATTTATGTATACTGTCTACTAAATGTAGTAAGGATAAATGACGACCTTTGTACTCCTAGATATAGCAGGCCCCTTCGGGTATTAGAATTAAAGGGACACCAGTAACTCGTCGGGAAATGTAGTGAATATAGCAGGTTAAAACAAAAAACAATGGCCAAAGATAGAGACAAGTGAAATAATCTGGGGGAGGCCTACACCCTCGCATAAGAGGGGTTCTTGCGTGTGATAATTATTTAAACTATGTTTTAAACATCTTTTTAAGTTATAATTGTAATTCATTAAACATATTTCAATGAAAAAATTAAATTTATCTATTTCAATCTATATTTAATATTAAGTTTAACTCTACATTATAATGACATTTTTTACATAAACAAATGTTTTCCGAAACTCAACTAAATTGAATAAAAATGAAGTGTTTAGTCTCCGTTTAGAGGATGATTTTGAATTTATTATGAAAAACATAGCATTCTTTAATGATATGTTTTTGTTTCGGAAATTTCTGGACGACTAGCTTCAGCCTTAAAAGGTTAGTTATGTAATAATCCGATAGGCTAATTAATCAAATTCAAATTCAAAATCGTCCCCTAAACGGAGACTAAACACTTCATTTTTATTCAATTTAGTTAAGTTTCGGAAAACATTTGTTTATATATTCGTAGCTTTCTACGAATTAGGGGTCGGATAGGTCGTATGCAGCGTCTATCCCAGGCGGGTCCGCTAATGGTTCCGGCAAATAAGCAAATAAGGATGCAGGTGCGCGATGTTATGGACCGGGACATGGACGTCCCGGTCCAGAAAGCTTCCTCCAAAGCGCCAGGTGTACAGGTGGTCTACGGAAATCGCGCAAATGCGTAGAGCATGTCTAGCGGCGAGACGCCGGTACACCTGAAACTGAAGGCCGCGGCGCAGGGATGTAGGCATCCCGTGATCTCCCCTCGGGTGCGTCCCCAGGTGGCGGATAGGGAAATATCATCCAATCCTGGGTGATACCGGGTAACCGGCGGGGACCAAAACTGGCAGGGGGGGGGGCGTTCTGGGAGTCCTTTTCAGGACTTAGGGACGTCCAAGGACTCAAAGTCCTAGGAGGCAAGCCAGAGCAAGGCGAGCCTTCGTTGCTCCCAGTATCTCTCTCCAGTGAGATGGGATAGGGGATGCAACAAGGAGGGAAATGTGCGAGACGTATCAAAGGTGTGTGTTTTGGGGGGCAAAGCGGAAACAGGCTGAGTGATTGTGTGATGTATGAAATGAAATTCCCGAGAGGGAACGGTGATTCGCGCGGTGTGTATGCCGAGTGCACTCTGCTTTTGCCGACACCAGGCGATCTCGGTACTCTGCTGTAGGTTTCGTGGATCAAGTCTCGCGGCCTGCGGCAGAACTGAGGGCCCTGCCTTAACCGGCCGGACCGCGAGGAGTAAACCTCACTAGAATATCCGGAGATTTCAGTGTTGCGGTGCGCGGCGTCGGATGCTTGAAAGAGCGACTGGACCGACAAACCAGTCTAAGCGACCACCCCTGGGTACCTCCCGACCCCCAGGTGTATATAGGGTTACCGGGCTACAAGGTCACTGGCTCAGTGGACTGGTATTTACCTAATACTCGTGGGATTTTAACGGAAAGTTTAAATGAAAATAAAAATGACAACGTCATGGAAACGGACTCCGATTTACGAATCGAATTGGTGGGCGAAAGTCTTGCAGACCGGAAGAGGTCCTCTTCAGCTGGGGAGACGAGAAATCTGCCTGAGGATAGAGCCTCGAAATTTTTCGGGGACGTCCGCAAGCGGCCGCGAGAGATGGAGAAGTCCCCAATTTCAGTGGGATCACAAGCGAGAATGAGGAGCCAGCACAGAAGGTGGTGGCTGTGAAAAGTGGCCGAGGGTGTACGTCATCCCCAGTCCTACCCAGAGACTCTAGAGGGCGCTTTCTTAAGTGATCCACTATACAAGGGGAAATATGCCAGACAAGTCGGTCTGGGTGAGACTTCACTGGGAATCGGAGAAAGACCCATGCTGCTCACGATGGGGACGAGGGCGATTGCCAAAAGCCTCGAAACAAGGCTGCAACATCAGCTACAGATTTTGAGCCGCAGGCTGGTAATTTTTTTTGGGTTCCGCTAATTGTGCCGGTGTGTATATATATATTGTGTGTATTTATTTATATTTTTAGTATGTATGAAGTTTATGTTTATAATCTTCTTATGTAGTATATAATTTTAGAATATTACTTATCTCAACATATACAAATAATATCAGATATGTACCTTGTAAGTTTCAGTTGTAGTTATTCTTTTTTTTTGTCTTTCTGTGCACCTACCTAATCTTCTCTGTACCACCCTAAGGTTGACTGGGAGATAATGCCTTCGGCATTAAGTCCGCCTTTGTACTTTTAGTGCATAAAGGATAAATAAATAAATAAAAAATTACTACAAGCGAAATTAAGATCAGGTGTGGACCAGTCACTGCTAGGAGACTAAATTCTTTTAAAGATAAAGTAACACAGCATGTATTTCATTAAGATATCGGAGTCAATAAACCTAATGATTCTTATAGATCGATGGTTGATTTTCTCATAACTTCTTATAATCATACTTTTAAACCCCGCACAATTGTTAAAAAATCAAAATTAAAATATAGTGACTGGGCAAAAGTGGGTATATATATATAAAATTAGGGATTCACTGTATGAATTATATAATATGAGGCAGTGGAATCACGACCCTAATTTCCATAAACGGGTACAAAATTTTTTCAAAAATTTTTTCAGTAATAGCGAAAGCTAATCGCAATGGGAATTGTATTCTGGAACAATTGGTATTTCCACTTTAAAAATAATATTATCATTTTCTTGAAGAAAATTGATGATTTGAACTCATTTTTTTTATTTGGAATTTGTCACAGAGAGTGTAAAGTACATTGTTATCAATATTTAAATCAAACCAACGACGATGACATAAATTGCCCTGTTTTATTTTCAAATTTCCCTGGGCAGTTTCAAAATTATTAGTTTACAACCTGATTCTGTTTGTGTAATCTTAGCATTGAGTACATTAACTACGATGCATTTGAGTACCTATTGAGTTGAGTTTTGTTGTATCGATGTTAACTCATTGGTACTCTAACAGATGGCGTTAGTAGTACAATAACATTCTATACATACCAAATTTGGTAATAACAACATTAACAATTGTTAATGTTCATGTTTTTTATGGTTATGAAATTATATTTTTTTTGACAGATAACACGTCTAGACATAAAGTTAAATTACTATGTTAAAGCACAAATCTATAGGCGTGATAGTTTTTCAGTAAAGGGTACCTACCACAAAAATGCTCGGGTTGTCGGATAGTGTTAGGTCTCGCTTCGCTAGCCCTAATAAGATTATGAAAATAAAATTGAATAATACTCAACAACTCTAATGACGATGAAAACGTTTGTGGATGGATTATAATAAAAGGATTTTAAAATTTTTACGTGAATATTTAAATCGAAATAAACAAGTTTCATTTTCCATAATTTATTAAAAATATTTGACATAAAATTCGATGTAAATCATTATTAAGCCCCATCAAGTATCTCGAAATTTTAAAGCACCTATATTTAAAACGTCTCCCTTATATTATGATGGAGTTTAAATGTATGCATCGAAATTTATTATGTAATTTAAGACATTTTAAATTAATAAACAGTTTAGCTTATTATCTACAATAAATATCTCATTTATAATATATTTATATAAAAATCGCATTAATAATTTTAATATACGATTAACAGAGTTCAGGGTGGACGCTCTGTCAAT